AAGAGTGTATTGAACAAGTAATACTTTTAAATGTTTAATCTCCCATAATTTTAAGATCTTAAAAAATTACTGAATTGCAGGCCTAGCTGTCATATTCTCATACTTTTCTGTTAACTGTTACTCACTTTTTTCCTAACATTGGTACCTCAGTAGTTTCTTAGGGGTTGTCCGTACTCCCCACCTTTCTTGCGTTTTCATGAGGTGCTATGTGGAAAGGAAACAAAACCAACTGTCCCATATCTAACAGAAGAGCATGTGCTGATTACTCGGAATTGATACTGCTTTTCTGAGATGTCATAATAATTTTTTTTCAGATGGAAAAGTAGGAGGATTTGAAGGAGATTTGTAGTGATTTCCATTCTCTCTAATGAGACAGTCTTGGTTTCATAAGTCGATTTAACATACCAGTTAAATTGGGAATTGGCTTAGTTTTGGGCGTATTAGCCTAAGATATAGAGAAAGGTATATGAGAGCTTTATATCTTCATTGCGATGGAAATTTATCCCAAGGCTTACAGTCCAGTCCTATCTGACCTCTTTAAAGAATGCTGTGAGGATACTTGTCTTTTGAGATTATGGGTTTTTTAAGCAGATGAGAAGGTGGTAAGACAGGGGAGGGACTCTTAACTGCATATTGCAAGTAAGGCTTCCTACTGTGTGTAAGAATAAAAAGATAAACTGAGCCTGTTAAGTGCCTTATTCCACTCACCAACTTAAGAGGAAAAGGCATTTTATTACTTTGCTATCATAACAAAAATTGTAGAAAATTACACCTTTTTCTCCCTCTTTTAGGATACAGATAAAATGTAAAGTTCTGTGCTTGGGTTTTGAGATCCACGTGGCTAATAGTTCTGTTCATGGCATAGCGGGGATCACAGTTCTTAGTTTGATCTAGGTCAAATTAATATGCTCTTGAAGACTTTATGCATTTCAGAAAATCTTAAAATTTTAATATCACAGTTAATATTTAGGAAGTTTGAAGTATTACAGGGTTAATTTCAGCCTGTGTTCCATGCAGTAACTTAATATATAGTTCTTTGTAATGGAGCTGATGGAGGGTGCTCTTGCTGTCTGTCACCCATTCATAGAATTTAGGTTCATTAGCAGCTGAATTTATTCTGTGTTTTCAATAGTGGTTTTTTGCTTTTTGTTCTTTAATTCTTGCTGTTTGCTTTGCACTCAAGTTAACACCTTTTCTGTTAGTCTGCTTCAAATGAGAGAAATGCCGGAGAAATTTGCTATGTAATTTTCAACTGAAATAGTAGTTAAAGAGGTTTAATACTTCATTGCTATTTCCATCAAACTTGATTAAGAAGTTTTGCTGTGCCACAGTGAGAAGTTTTCATACGACCTGAGTTTGAGATAACACTTCAGGAATAACTTACACTAACATTCCAGAAATGAAACTCCCCTAGACATGTTAATACTTCTTATTTATGCTTTTCTTGTAGCTAATTGCATGGCTTCACTGGTAACTGTTCTGTATGCTCTTTGTAAGTGCTACTACATATGTGTCTTCTTATGTGAGAACGTATAGAATAGATTTTCCACAGGCTTTTATTATACAAGATTAATTCTTGATGAAAGGAGTACTTTTTTTTTATAGACTATTAAGGGTATCTCTGGTTATTTTACTTGTGTTTAGTATTTGATCCTTCTTGATAAAAGAACAAAATTACCATCTTCTAATATTGTTGTGGTGTTATTTTTGTTTTATATATCCTTAGCTCACTTTGAAGTTGACAGAACTGAAGTATGCATTAGATACTAAATGTAAATCAAAAGTATAAATACTCATACATAGTAGCCACTGTGAAGATAAATACATGATATGCTTGGGGTATCAAGTAATGCGTTTTTCACAAACAGGTTTTCTCAAATATTTTGCGGAAATCATACTGAAGAATTTGTTGTGTTCATTAAACTTTATGTTATGATTAGGGCCACAAAAATGATCTGAGGGCTGGAGCACCTGTCCTATGAGGACAGGCTCAAGAGCGTTGGGGTTGTTCAGCCTGGAGAAGAGAATGCTGTGGGGAGACCTTAAAGGGGGCCTATAGGAAAGATGGGGGCAATCTTTTTAGCAAGGCCTGTTGTGACAGGACAACAAGTAATGGTTTTAAACTCAAGAAGAATAGATTTAGACTAGACATAAGAAAGAAATTTCTTACAATGAGGGTGGTGAAGCACTGGCACAGGTTTCCCAGAGAGGTGGTAGAGGCCCCATCCCTGGCAACATTGCAGGTCAGGTTGGCTGGGGCTCTGAGCAGCCTGATGTGGTTAAAGCTGTCCCTGGTCACTGCAGTGGGGTTGGGCTAGATGACCTCTAAAGGTCCCTTCCAACCCAAAGCATTCTGTGATTCTGTGATTGTACCTCTGATTTAAATCTTGCTGTAACCCTCTTCAGTTTCCTTAAAGGAGACATGTTTATTGTCCATAATGAATTGGAAGATGGCTGGATGTGGGTTACAAACCTACGGACAGATGAGCAAGGTCTTATTGTAGAAGACCTGGTAGAAGATGTGGTAAGTAATTTTTATATTCAGATTTCTTAAATGAATGAGACTTTTGTAAAAATGATATCGAAATAAACCAAAACTAGTGACATTTAATTGTCTGTTTTCTAGTTACCTACTTTTCTAAACCTAGAATTTGATTTACTTCTTTTAAAATAGTATAACAAACCTTTAAGCCTAATTCAGTATCAAAAAAGTGTTTACCCACATGTTGTCCAAAGAGAAGTACAAATGAATAGTACTGTAAATTTACTAGGCAGTTTCCTAAACTTGACTGTCCTGGTAAAGAATCTGCTACTCATTTAATTGCATTTCTTTTTTATATATGCCATGAGATGTTCACAAACTGTACAGAATGTAATTTTACCTTATGGTAGGTCTCTGTTTTTTTTAAGGATGAAGTTAAAATGGGTTAAAAATGTATTGATGAGTTAATTACACATAGAAGGGCTTGTGTGGGCTCAGGAAACTAACCGGGTGACCTGCAGATAATTCAGATACTGTAGGAGAACAGATGGCTTAGTATACTTCAGAAGGAAAAAAAAAAAAAAGAAAAATACTTTTTTTTAACAAGCTCAGCCTTGCTTTGGAGTCAAATATTATCAAATATTCTTGATAATATTTTCCTGCACAGTACACGTGTTTTGCTAATAGCACTGTTACCTGCAGATGCTTCTCACAGATCTATGTCAGGATGTGAATGGCTAAATTGAAGTGGCAGTACTAGACTATTGAACTATAGACTGATATATCAGTGGTTAAGTTAACCTTAGGAAAGCTGAGATTTTAAAAAGTTACCACCTCTAAAGAAGGACTTGAAATATGACAGAAGCAACCTCTGAAATAACATATTTTGGCTGAATTTCCACTTAGTGAATGAAGAGGAAAACTTCTTTTCATAGAACTGCAATAAGCCCTTTAGTTCAAAAATGTCTCAGACTTCTTAGTGTTTTTTTTTTTTTTTTATCAGAAGGTCTTAACCTATGAAGTTTATTTTTTTTTTAAACTGAGCTGTACTGTTGTCATGCACTTAATATGTTAATTTTCTCATTAGGGAAGAGAAGAAGATCCACATGAAGGCAAAATGTAAGGATTTTTGTTTTGTTATTAAAAGCAATCATAACTGTTTGTAAACTTCAGCTATGATATTTCCCAATTTTGGGAAGGTGATCCAAAGAGATTTATTTTTTCATCTCAAGACTTTTTTCTATACTAGCTGCTGAAGATGCATGGATAATTCACATGAAAGAGTCCTGTAATAGGTATGCTTATTGCTAATGGGTTTTGCAGTGTTAAAACCTTAGATGAGTCCCTGTACAATCACTTTCAGCCAAAATATGCACAATGGAGTATTTCTTTGACATAGTGTTTGCCTTAGAGGTAACCTTTTTTCAGATCTGCACAACTCTAAATGCTGGAGAGACAGCAAAGTACCTTTAGAAAAATGATAGTGTGATAGTTACAGCTTGTCTCTGTTGGCCTCATGTAATAACACTTAAGCTATAAAGAGAAAGATGGAGGACTATAAGATTTGTTCTATTTGCTTAAATACTTTTATTTTTTTTAAGATTGAATACAATTTAGAATCAACAATGTATTGATATGTCAAGCTGTTGATAGATTATTTTTAGTAGTAGAGTGGCAGAAGAAAGTTCAAAAAAATATCTAGTGGCTTGATTATTCCATGTGTCCTCCATTTTCTTGCCATATTTGCACCTGCTGCTTTTACTCTGTTGCCCAGTTGTGGTCTCCAAGAGGCTGATGGCTGAATGAGACATTTCTTGTTATTCTTAATAGCAGACAGAAAATCACTGGTGTATTTGTGTTTGTTTACTGTTTGCTGGTGTTCTGCTAGTCAATCTGGCAGTAGGGCTGCCTTCAAATGTAGGATTTTTTATTTTATTTATTTGGAAACTGGTTTGTAGCAAATGCTTGGAGCTTTGATACTGCCTGTGCACAATTATTTGTGCCACTCAGAGGAATCCTGGGGAGATGGTGATTCCTTTGAACGTTCCAGCAGCCAGAAGTTACCCTTTAAAGGTAGTATAGAAAGTAAGTTAGAATTAGAGCTCTTTTCTGATACATAAAAAAGCCGTATTTTCATCTTTCCTTTAAAGGACAGAGTAAGCTATTAAGTTGTAGCATGTCAATCTGTTCTGTACAGTTGTAAGTATCAGGATGAGACTGGACAGAGGCTGCTGAACTTCTTAGGGCACTGCTCTGACACAGGACTCTGGGAAGGTACAAGGTGTGACATCAAAGCAGTTTGTATTCAGTAGTCTAACAAAGCTAGGTTTTAATTTCCACAGCTTCTGGCAAAATTCAGTTTGAGTTTTTCTGTACAGTTTTTAACCTCCTTGTTTGAGCTTTGGATTTCATGATTCAAGTAAATTGCTGTATGAGACTGACTTCAAATAATGAGTATCAAATTATCTGTCCTTTAGGCAATTCATTTTCATCTCTAAACACAGTTGGATTTGAACTTCAACTCCAAGCATTGGACATTTTTATTGAAATTAATTTATTCATATACCTGTTAATGTTAGTTTTTTCATGCTTTTGGTAGAACAGAATCAAAATAGCATAATCATTCATTATCTCATCTATATGTATTAGGTCTTTTTAAATAAAGATCAATTCATAGGTGCCAGAGCCTTGGATGTCACCACAGCCAAAAAAGAGAGCTGGTAGTCTTGCTTTCTAATTTTTCTCTTCATCTTTGTTAAGATGGTTCCATGGGAAGATCTCCAAACAAGAGGCTTACAATTTGCTGATGACAGGTACTGGTATTTCTGGTTGAAATGCAGTGGTAGTGAAATGGCACAAAGTGATCCTATTAAACTGTGCCAAAACTTCCGTTTATGTGTGAACATATATGAATGTCTTAGTCTGAGCAGCCCTTGTGGTTGTTACCTTCGTAGAATACTACATTGGAGAAAAACTATTGTGGCTATGAGTACTGAGTATGTTCTCAAGTATAGTTAATTTAATAATTATTGATTGAAATAATTTTTAAAATTAATGTTTGTGTAATAAATTATTTCATGTCCTGATTTCTTCATCAAAATGCTGTGGAGAATATGCTTTTATATACCTAAAGGAAAATATATTACAAACTTTTTTAGCCCTTTCATAGAGCAAATATTTCTTTAAATGAAAACATCAAGATTTCTGACCCGTATTGTTAAATAGCATACTTTAAATATTAGAGTAGAAATTGTTAATTTTTGAAAACATGTTGGCCAACTTTTGTTTGTATGCTCTTGCAAAGACGTGGCAAAGATGTGGCTAGGTTGCCAGCTACAGCTAAACCATTTTGCATTAATTTTAGCAGTTTAGTACTAGCTCATCTAGTTTGAGATCACTGTTGGAACTTACCTTACAGACTCTGTATTTCTTCAAGTGTGCAATTCTTGCTAATTTATGTGGAAATAGATTTGATAGGGGCTTATATATAACACTAAGAAAAGTAACACTGTTATGGTATCTTTTCAGTTGGTCAGGTGTGCAGTTTTCTTGTGAGGCCTTCAGATAATACACCTGGTGATTATTCACTTTATTTTCGGACCAGTGAAAATATTCAGCGTTTTAAAATATGTCCAACATCAAACAATCAGTTTATGATGGGAGGCAGATACTATAATAGGTAAGTTTTAATGGTAAAAGGAATTGTGCGTATTTTATATTTGTGTAAAGAATTTGTATAACTTGCTCCTGATAGTTATGTACTGCTATGATTACAAGGCTATAGTTTTCTTAGTAGTATACTAATCATTTTACCTAACTTGCTTAGTAGTTACTTGTAACTGAGCAAGTTCTTAAAGCCTAAGCGTAGCTTGTTTCTTTCAAAGTATTGTCCTTCTTCTGCCAACCAGTTTCTTCAAACTATAAATTGTGGACTGTATGGATCATATGTGGATCTGTAATTAAGACAATGCTGTGTTGTCTTGGAAGCTACTATTTGTATTCTTGTCTATTTGAAAAGGGAAAATAAAAATGTTAATTTTATCTGAGACGTTCAATAGGGTTTTCAAATAATACAAATGGGTATTTACAGGAACGGGGAAAAAATACCTTCATAGTTGGAAAAAGTCATTAAACTGCATTGTAATATGTGCGTGATACTTAAGTCAGAAGTACAGATCACTTCATTTAGAGTGAGCAAACTTGGGATGCATTTGTTTTGCCGTTGGTACCAAAAAATAGTAATTTGTACAAAAAGAGAAATAACAAGAGATACATTTCCCCTTTTGTGGGAGAAGCCATCAGTACAGCTCCATCCTTGATAATCTTGTTGTAGAGTTGTCGTAGAAGTAAGACTTTTCAGTCATGAAAACTCGCCTCCCTCTTTTAACAGAGGCCGTTGCCTGCCTCACAAAATCAGCACTTTTCCAGACTTGCTCACCTAGAACCGAGGGCATTCTTCATCCCAATAGAGAACTTCTCTCACTTCCAGCTTGGCTTCTGAGTGGGTAGGAATCCAGCAGCTGGTGTGTCTGAGAAATTGTCGAGGTCTCCTAACTAAGAAGTTCAGTGGACTTTTTCATATGACTTCAAATGGACGATGGTGTGAGGCTAAACAATTGGAACCTTACGAACCTATGCATATCCCACTGCCAGGCTGCTTGAATACCTTCTACATTAATCCGTCTGGCCTCCAGACATCCTCATTGAAAACCAAGCTAGCTGCAGTGTCAGCTTTTCATGAAGGTAAATGCTCTTTTGCCCATTCTCTAGTTACATGGCTTATGAGGAGGATGATAGGCTAGGAACCCCCACTCTAGGTGATGTCAAATGAACTAGCAAATTAGTGGAACTCTTATTAGTCTCAAATGGTTTTGCAGCATTAAATAGTATACCTTCAGAAAGTTACTACATTATGTAAGTTATTACTTTAGATTACTTGAGAATACAGTGCTGGATTCACTTGAGGCGTGTATAGAAATTACATTTATCTGAAGAAGATTCTTTCCATGGTGTTGAACAGAAAACAAGAGTGTAAAGTTAAGCAGCACTAAGTTATGACAAAATGCTTTTAGAATTTTTTAAAATATTTTGGTACCTAGTTTGCGAGTTCTTCCTCAGTGGGAAAGAGAATCTGCATAGCTTTAAAAGGCTTCATTTTTCTTGCATGGTTTGGAGAATTGCTGCTATACTCCTGGGCTCGCATTCAGTCCAACTTAGTATGTGCTGCAAGTTGGTAAACTTCCTGGAAGTTCAAACATCTAATGAAGTATGCAATGCAAGATACTAAGGCTGCAAAATTAAGATGGTAACTGCCCAAATCCTGCAATGTAAGTTCTACTGCAG